AAAAGACGCACATTCACTCCGAGCCAGTGAACAGAAAGCGAAGAGCACAAAGCAGGCGATGAAGATGCAGTGGGGTCTCATGTTTGGGTCTGTGGTCGGTCGCTGATCAGATCTTGATGTGCTGGTCGCTTTATCGGTGGCTGATAGCCTCGAAGATGATCACCTCACTGATGCGGCCCGCTTTATAAAGGGGTGAGCTTGTACTTTCCACTCTACAGACCTATAGGGGTTCAGTCCGATGAGGAACAAGTGACATCACAGGCACGGGGGAAAACCGTGATGTGGCCTGCAGAGGTAGTACTTCCTGTTGTACCCTTCCCCAATTCTGTGAATCTATTCTAAATCGCTGACACAGGTAACCAGAGAAATTTGGTCGATTTGAGTTTTCCATATTTTGTTTTTTGTTTCTGTTCCATCCAAATTCCACAGAAAACATCTTTACATTTATGATGGACCCTCATAAGGACCCTCGTGTACAAATTACCTGTATTACATCAGCATTTTCAGGTTGCATCTTCTCAAGAACATGCCCAAAGCTCTCAAGTGCAGTGCAATGCAAGAAAAGTCCCTTTCTGCAAATGCACGGTGGAAAATGAGTCTGGGGCTCAATGCCGGAAATTATGAGCTCTACTTATCGGTGAAGGTGGAAAAGTGGTTGAACTGAAAGTGTTTTGTGTGGTTAACAGATTTGCACACAGTGTGCTCCGAACGCAGATAATATCAGCACTTACTCACGGAGTTTATACCACATAAATAATGCCTTATCATGTTTCGTTATCATGTTAAAAATCAATCACATTCAAATCACAGACATATGAAAATGACTACTTACCGAGTAACATTTATGATCTTTCTTTCCGAAGATTCCTTGGTTCTTATTAAATTGTTCCTTTCATACCTTTTGTTTTTCCACTTGTCCTATTTTGGGCTGCACGTGTCAGGTCATTGTTCCTCTGTACCCACTGGCCGCACATTACTGCACCTCCTCGAACACCATTGCACTTGTTCTTTATGTAGACCTGTTTAAAGGGGTCATATGATGCGATTTCAAGTTTTCCTTTCTCTTTGGAGTGTTACAAGCTCTTGGTGCATAAAGAAGATCTGTAAAGTTGCAAAGACTAAAGTCTCAAATCCAAAGAGATATTCTTTATAAAAGTTAAGAGTTAACAACACCTACCTAAAACGCCTCGTTCTAACATGCCCCCACATATCTATGTCTGTTACGACCTCTTGTTTTTAAGTCTAGGTTTAAGAGGGGTAACATTTGTAGTTGTGATGGTTGTGACATTGGTGGTGGCAAAAGAGAATAGTGCAACACGAAAACTGCCAAGGAAGGTGATTTATTTACAAGTTTAAAAGAAAAAAGAAAAACATCAAGTAACAATAATAATAATAAACAAATACCAAGATAACAAATAAAGAGAAAACTATAATTTCACAATATTTACAACCCAAAAATGAAATAACCCCCACAAGGGAAAAACGGACGCAAGGGGCGCCAAAAAAAAAAACAAAAAAAAAAACAAAACCAATCTAACTTAAGTTGCCAAATCTAACCTACTAACAAAAGAAAAGAAAACAGGGAAAAAAACAAGTCTTCTGCGTTTTTACGCGCTAACTAACCTGCTCCAAACTCACCAAAGCAAAAAGTACAAAAAGTGGCACTCACTTCTATACTAGTGTTTCTAATACATCAGAGTCACTACATGTTGCTACATGTATGTCACGTGACATACTACCTGGTCCAGTTTTCCCCAGGGGCAAGGAGAACATTGTTCTGCGTATATTACGAAGGCAGTAAACAATGAAATACAAAATAGAAAACTTAAAGAAAAGATCAAGAGGACAACTCAAAACTGTAACAGAAGAACAACACCACCAAAGAAACAAACAAAATGCAAATGCACAAACAGAAAAGCAAAGTCTGCGCCGCGTTCATTCAGTCATCCTTTTAAACTCTGGCAGGAAACAGGATTGGCAGCGGAGATAATGACGTCACCCACGTTAACGATGACAGACGGCTTTCTGAACCAATAGCAGTCCAAGGCGGGTTGAACCTAAGAATACAACAGAGCAGAGAGAAGGAGAAAGCAAAAACACGGAGGCACAACCACTGGGACGTAACACTCCCACCCTTAAGAACAAACCTGTTTGTGACAAGAAAAAAACAAACACATCTTTACCCATCTCACACTTAAAAACATCACCACATACTCAAACTCTTGAAAGAGCATCAGCCAAAACATTCTCAACCCCTTTCTTATGTCGAATATCCAAATTAAAATTTTGGACTACCAAGGCCCATCGCATTAGACGTTGATTTTGATTGTACATCCGAGAAAGAAAAACAAGAGGATTGTGGTCGGTATACACAATGACGGGAAGACTACTGGATCCGACATTAACTTCGAAGTGTTGCAAGGCAAGTAACAAAGCAAGGGCTTCTTTCTCAATGGTTGAATAATTAAGCTGATGTTTGTTGAACTTACGTGAAAAATAACTAACAGGATGATCTATACCATTTTTATCCTCCTGAAGAAGAACAGCCCCAGCACCAACAGCACTTGCATCAACTTCAAGTGTAAAGCCCCGCGTACAGTCCGGTGCAAGAAGAACAGGTGAATTACACAGAAGCGTCTTCACACAGTCAAAAGCATACTGACACTCAGACCACTCAAAAGATTTAGATGGACTAAGCAACGCAGTGAGAGGATTAACCACAGTCGAGAAATTCCAACAAAAACTGCGGTAATACCCCGCCATACCCAAATAACGTCTCAATTCTCGTCGAGTGATAGGAGCTGGGAACTCCAAGATAGCTGTAATTTTGGCTTCAACAGGACGCACCTGACCCTGACCAACTTCTTTGCCGAGGTAAGTGACAGTTGCCCGTCCAAACTCACACTTTGCCAGGTTAAGCGTTAAATTTGCCTTAGCAAGACGTTCAAACACCATTTTCAACGAACACACATGTTCGGTCCAGTCTGCCGAATAAACAACTAAATCGTCAAGATATGCACTGCAGTTCGGCACACCAGCCAGTACCATATTCACAAGTCTCTGAAAAGTTGCCGGTGCATTTCTAAGCCCGAACTGTTCCGAAGCTTTCACCACCGGCGTCTCCCTAGTATGGGAAGCTTTTAACATATTTATGTGACAAACACGGGTCTGGCGTTTCCTATCAGGTGTATGAAGCAAATAGTCAGTCTCACTCATTTTCTTTTTCACAACATAAGGACCAAAGAAGCGAGCCGACAAAGAGGATCCAGGAACGGATAAAAGTACAAGCACTTCATCCCCTGGCTGAAAAGATCGTGCAACAGCTTTTTGATCAAACTTGCGCTTCATGCCTTTCGGAGCATGGGCGAGAGACTCTTTAGCCAACAGCCAATCAGTATGTAAACAATCCCGAAACGAACTGACATAATCCAATATGTTAGTACTTGGACTCGAATCAGTAGCCAAAATTTTTTCCTTAAGAACTTTTAACGGTCCTCGCACTTGATGACCGAAAACGAGTTCTGCTGGACTAAAACCAAGAGATTCTTGTACAGTCTCTCTTACAGCAAATAAAACCAAGGGAACTCCCTCATCCCAACCCTTTGCAGTTTCCAAACAATATTTCTTAAGCTTCGACTTAAGTGTTTGATGAAAGCGTTCAAGTGCACCCTGGCTTTGTGGATGGTACGCACTTGAAACACGGTGGGAAATGGCTAAAGACTCTAGAACTTGTTTAAAGAGTTTCGACAAGAAATTCGTACCTTGGTCGGTTTGTATTACTTTAGGGAGCCCGAACGTAGAGAAGAACTTCAGCAACGCTTTAATAACCACAGGCGTGGGGATTTTTCTCAAAGGAATCGCTTCCGGGAACCTAGTAGCCACACACATAATGGTTAACAAGAATTGGTTACCACATTTAGTTTTTGGCAATGGTCCAACACAATCTACAACTACGTGTTCAAAGGGCTCTCCGATTGCTGGTATGGGAGACAGTGGGGCAGGCGGAATCACCTGATTCGGCTTCCCGACAGTCTGACAGGTATGGCACATGCGACAATAATGAACAACATCTTTTTTTAAACCTGGCCAGAAGAAATGATGCAATATCCTATTGTAAGTCTTTGTAATTCCTAGATGGCTAGCCAGCTGATGATCATGGGCCAAGCACAAAACATGCTGACGATAAGGAGAAGGAACGACAACTTGGTATACAACATTCCAGTCTGAATCTTGTTCATTACTAGAACACCACTTTCTCATCAATAAATCGTTGTCCATAAAATAGGCAACTAGCTTATCCTTAGCCACATCCAAGGAGACAATAGAATTAAAAGGAGTGGTGAGAGATTTATCCACCTTCTGCGTAGCACTAATTTCCTCTCGAGACACAGGTAACTTTGAAATATCTGCATCAGACATTTTTCCACTAGCACCCTCTGGATTAAAAATGATTTTTCTTCGCAGATGAAAGAACCGTATCTAGCGATGCATCACCAGACAAAAGTGGGAGCATGAATGAATTAGACAAATCATCCACCTCACCCACCTTGCGCGACTGAGTGAAAAAGCTGGTGATGCTGTTTGTGGAGATGATTAATAATCTTCTGCTGAGATCTTGAGAGATTTAATGTCTTTTTATTTCGGTTGATTTCATCTAAGGCTGTGGCTGAAGTCAGTTGTAGTTCTTGTGTTTCTCTTTTCTTCAGTGATTCTGCTTGTTAACAGCAGCTGTTCATCACTAATGCTCAATCAGCACTTAATTAATCACA